GGTGATGATGTTTTTTTGGGGGGGTGCTCCTTAAAGTATAGAGTTGCAAAAATGTGTTTGTATGTGTGTGTGCAGAAAAATGAAAGTGGCGCCTCAATAAATAGACATTGGCGAGGCGTGCTGGCAAAAGGAGTTACTTTTCGCAATCCGTGAATGGAAATATTGGCTGGAAATCAATGCAGGGGTCAAATTTGTTGGTTTTCTACTGATGTCATGTTCTTTAACTGTAAGTTTGACATCTTTTATGTGTTTTATCATTAGATAGCCTACTAATAAATTGTACTAGCTCGACTTATAAATCTGATGAATGTATAATTATTCTCAAAGCTAAAATCTGAGAAGTATCTTATTTTGTTAGCAATCCTCACAATTTTTTAAAACTTGAGTGTATTGTGAAGGAAGTTTAGAGTCGAGGGTGAGTCATCTGATGTTGGTTTTTTTCTCTCCTTTTGACATTCCAGAAGAGTTCCAGCGTGCGGTGATGGTGTGCACGGGGTTCACTCTCAGCAGCCACATCGTGAGCACGGTGTTCAACATTTTCGACACGGACGGCGATGGTCACCTGTCGCATAAAGAGTTTATCTCCATTATGAAGGACAGACTGCACCGAGGGGCACGGGTAAGGGTGTGTCTGTGTGTCAGTGTGTCTGTGTGTCCCACAAGGAGGTTATCGCCATTATGAAGGACAGACTGCACCGAGGGGCGCGGGTAAGGGTGTGTCAGTGTGTCTGTGTGTCGGTTTGCTTCTTCTTTCCTATCAAACATCAATCTTCCTTATCTCCCCTCCTTCGTTTTTGTGTTTGTTACTCCCTTGTAACATCTCTAATCTTTTAGCGCTCATATGACCTTCTGCAGTTGCAAGTGCCGTAAAACACTTACTAAAACTTTTAAAAATGTGTCAGTTTGTCGTTTGTCGTACATTACACTGGTCTGTGTGATGGTCTTTGACAGGGGCGTTATACCTCTATCATTTCACCATTTTTTTTTTCTAAATTTTTTTTTTTAAAGGATAGTCTTTTAATTTCCTACCATGAGG